CAGACCCGGATGCTTCTGCTACTGAGCTTTAACTGCGGGAAAGCGTGGGCTAGGCCAGACTACGTCTACGCCACGGACTTTCACAATTACAAGAGGCCGTGAAAACTCCCCCCCCCCCATTTCTCAACGCCGTCAAATAGACTCAACAGTTCGATCAATCTCACTCCACTCCACCCCGAACACGAGCACTGCCGTCCGCACTCCGCAGTGCAACGGCCTTCCTCGGCTATTTCGTGAGAGTCTTGTCATCTGTCATGGTTTGCTCACCACAAACACGCGCTACACTTGGCTCGTTCGTAAATCTTTGCTCTATGCTTTACTACCTTCACGACCGCCGTCAGGGCTCGAAACGGCAAACATAGCGACTTACAGTCGTTGGCCGAGCCGCACTGTCCTGACATTGCTACACTATCCTACGCGTAGCAGCATTAGCTGCAGCAGCAGTAGCAGCAGCAGCAACGACGACGACGACGACGACGACGACGACGACGACAACAACAACAACAACAACAACAACAACAACAACAACAACAACAACAACAACAGCGGTGGCGACGACGACGACGACGACGACAGCAGCAGCAACAACAACAGCAGCAACAGCAACAGCAGCAGCAGCAGCAGCAGCAACAACAGTAGCATCAGTAGCAGCAGCAGCAGCAGCAGCAGCAGTAGCAGTAGTAGCAGCAGCAGCAGTAGTAGCAGAAACAACAGTAGCATTAGTACCAGCAGTAGCAGCAGCAGCAGCAGCAGCAGCAGCAGCAGTAGCAGTAGTAGCAGTAGCACCAACAGCAGTAGTAGGAGCAGCAGCAGTAGCAGTAGCAGTAGCAGCAGCAGCAGCAGTAGCAGTAGCAGTAGCAGCAGTAGCGGTAGTAGCAGCAGTAGCAGCAGTAGCATGCGTGATGCAGGGAGGTTCTACTCTTTTCCCGGTTTCATCAAAAATATCCTAACTACGTACTTTGCCGTTTGGAGAGGCCCCGCGCATACAACTGCCCCATCTACGCACCAAACAGCCTACTCCTGCTCTCTGTGTGTCAATAAGCCTTTTATTCTATCACGACCCATAAACGTCACACAAAACAGACAGTTTTATTTCAATAAAATGTGTGTCCAGTGCATTCCATGCCATTACGTGTCGCTAAATTACGGCTTTGTTCATCATGTTGCACTCGTTTCCATCGCTGGCGCTAGTCTGACTTGCCGTGACGATAAAGGATTCTGACCGCGTGCCCGCAGAGAACCTTGGACCAGTCTAGACACAACTGACAAATTGTGAAAGGGTTTGTTCAAAGGCGCGTGATGAAAGGCGGGTAACGATTTCACGCCACTACTACTTCACCCACCGAATGCATGCCAACTTAGCCGGATAAATGCAAGCTTATCCAGGAAAATGCAAAACTTAGCCGGAAAAATGTCAACTTTACCGGAAAAATGCCAACCTAACCCTATGAATTCAAACGTATGTTCATCAGGATTCATCTCGACTGCCCTTGATGTTGTTTTCAGGCATACGAATAAATGAAACAATACATGCCAAGATTGGGATCAGGATTGATCAAGGTTGGAACGAAGGAATGTACGAAAGATAGAAAGAAACGAACGAAAGAACGAACAAATGAATGAACAAACGAATTAGAGAACGAATGAATGAGTGAAAGATTGAATAAATGTACGAGCGAACAAACGACGGAGCGAATAAACGAAGAAGGAACGAATGATTGAATGAATTAATAAACGAATAAATGAATAAATGAATGAATGAATGAATGAATGAATGAATGAATGAATGAATGAATGAATGAATGAAAGAAGAAGGAAGGAACAAATGCATGAACGAATCGCACTCACAAGTTCTCCGTGTCGCTGTTCAGGTAATCTTCTAGCTGCGTGAAGTCTATAGCCTCGTTCTCAATCCCGTGTAAGTCGCTCGCTCGCCCTGAAACAATAGAACAACAGCTCACGTTAGCTTTACGCCGAAATATTACGTAACTGCAGGGGAAGCTAACCCATTTAAACTACCACCACCCCCACGCCCTGCCTTCCAAGCATTCCTTTTAAACTTCAAATGATACATTTCGTTCGTCGGCATTCATGTATCATTTTACAGATGCTACGTTGTTACTAACATATATATATATATAACTATAATATGCATAATTATATTAACATACAACGTTGCTAACGGGACGGGATTTGACGTCCCGTTCGTTTGAACTTATTATAAGAGGGGATTGTGACGCCGGCTCATGATTTTAATCTCGATTCTGGGAATTGGACAAGCGCAACCAATATTGCAGTGTTTACACAGGTGTTAGAAGAATAGAGAAAGAGACTGAGAGAAAGAGACTGAGAGAAAGAGAGTGCTTCACGTTTCACAGTGAACATTTATAGGAGGATATACACGGTAATGAATGCGGTAAAAATGCATCCATTATTAGAGATCAGCCCACTAATAGGGAATTTCGCACATTAGCTGGTTATTTGAGACTTCACTGCACTAAGTGTAGTTTTATTAGAGGCTTATTTAATGCGCAAATATGCAACGCATCAAGAGACAATAAACAGGTATTTATTAGCTCTTGAACGCATGTATAGCGATAGTTATCTAGGATAAGCACCCATTACTAATCACGCAGCACGGATGCACATTCAGACCACAGGCACTTGAAGCGTTTCAATAAAATATAATGCTAAGTTAACTAAATACGAAATCTATTTACTACCAAATTCTTAATGTTTCTATATAAAATATTTATTTTTCTACGATACACTACTATATATATTAGTGTAAGCGTGCAACAGTCGCGCCGCGAAAGCAATGGCGCCGGCAGCGTATATGGTTGGACGTAGGATTTGGACGAAATTTACAGAAAACTGTCGGCGATAATAGGTGAAAGAGAGTATAGAAACATTAAGAATTTGGTAGTAAATAGATTTCGTATTTAGTTAGCATTATATTTTATTGAAACGCTTCAAGTGCCTGTGATTCAGACACGCGCACGCAGATATACAAAAACGGACGAACCCACGCACCCACACGAGCGCACGCACATGAATGAACGCACGCGCGCACGCACTCACGCACGCACGCACGCACGCGCGCGCGCACGCACTCACGCACGCACGCACGCACGCGGGTATAAACAGACCCGGATGCTTCTGCTACTGAGCTTTAACTGCGGGAAAGCGTGGGCTAGGCCAGACTACGTCTACGCCACGGACTTTCACAATTACAAGAGGCCGTGAAAACTCCCCCCCCCCCATTTCTCAACGCCGTCAAATAGACTCAACAGTTCGATCAATCTCACTCCACTCCACCCCGAACACGAGCACTGCCGTCCGCACTCCGCAGTGCAACGGCCTTCCTCGGCTATTTCGTGAGAGTCTTGTCATCTGTCATGGTTTGCTCACCACAAACACGCGCTACACTTGGCTCGTTCGTAAATCTTTGCTCTATGCTTTACTACCTTCACGACCGCCGTCAGGACTCGAAACGGCAAACATAGCGACTTAGAGTCGTTGGCCGAGCCGCACTGTCCTGACATTGCTACACTATCCTACGCGTAGCAGCATTAGCTGCAGCAGCAGTAGCAGCAGCAGCAACGACGACGACGACGACGACGACGACGACGACAAGCAACAACAACACAACAAACAAAACAACAACAACACAAACAACAAACAACAACACAGCGGTGGCGAACGAACGAACGACGGAGACGACGAAGCGCGAGCAACCCAACAAGCAGCAATCGCAACAGCAACAGCAGCATTACAGCCAGCCAGCAATAGCAGGCAACAACAGTAGCATCAGTTAGC